AGGGGTCAGAACGGATTAACCGTATTTACATTGAACCTCATGGGAAAATTTGATTCAGTTCGCGACCAATTCAGTTCACGACCAGAGTCGTGGAACGAATTAAGTTCGTGAACCAAGGTACCACTGTGCTTTTAGTCTCTATAAGGCTTAAGAAATCAGTTTTGCCCCTCAACTTTCCCAAATTCCCAAAATACAAAAAGAAGGGAGCCAAAATATTTGGTTCCACCCACTTTGAGGGCTAGGAGTTGCAAAAGGGAGGCTTGGAACCACATGTGGACAGGTTTAGAGGACAGGACATATATCAGAAAGTATGCTTCAAGCACGTATGATCTTATGAAATGAATGCAGTCAAACAGCAAACTTTAGACCAAAGATAAGCAGAAGGTAGATCAATTTTCTGATACATTCTGGGTGATTTGCAGTAGATCAATAAGTGTTATTTATTTATTTATAGGGCTGCCCATCTCAACATGTGACTCTTGTTAATTATTAATCTCAAATATTATAATAATGATTACCAAAAAAAAGTCTTTTTCTTGATGAATCTGGCTGCTGAAATCAAGAAAATGGGAATCGATTTTTGTGTGAAAAGAGCTGTGTGTGAACTCCAAGTCTGGTATTTAAAACAAATTCCTGGACTGAACCATTCTAACTTTTGAATCACTATTTTGCACTTAACTCTTGAAGGTTGAAGGACCTCAGGATTCTATCTATAAATAAATTAGGTTCTATAAGCCTAAAGTTTCCCCACCCCTGCTCTAAAGTAGATTATGGGATGATTCATTCCATGTATTTTACAGCTTATTCTGCTGAATTGTGTGTGGGCAATGAAACTTTTCCATTCAGATCCTTCTATCACCAGTATTTCTCTATCTCCAATATTTTAATCTCTTAGATCCTTAACTCTTGCCTCATCACTTTCACCTTTTCAGCACAATACAGTAGCTGATTTTATATACTACATTATTACAGTTTGCTTACCTATGCATTATTGAATAAAATATACTAGGTGGATTCACACCACATGTTAAACCAAATCAAACCAAGGTATGATCCCAATCAATGCCTCTGGGCATAGACAATAAATTTAATCTCAGCAACTATTAATTTTTACAGTTATTCCTTTTAACTCTTTACTCCCCCACTATTCATTTCTTGTTCCTGTATTCTTTCACTACGTTCTTTTAACCCCTAGCCCATTCTGACTACTTTCATGTATCATACTAATTTTCTCACATTCAACTTTCACCATGTGAACTGCACCACATTTTGCACATTCATCATACTTTAATGTTATTTTTTGCCTGGTGATGTTCCTTACTCTCCTGCCTGTTAAACTTCTGTCTCTTCTCATAGTACCTTTAACCTACCCTCATATTCCTGCTTTCTAATCCACATACTTAACTCTTTGTGTTAGCATCATACCCAACACTTGAGTCCCTAATTTTTTCTCTTTTCATCTTGCCTTTTAGCATTATTTCCCTTCAGCGGCCTACATTTTGCCTATTTTTTTCTTTTAATTTAATCCTCCTAGCCATTATTTTCCCCACTGGGCATTCACCATAATTCATACCCTTACTACATTGAAACTAGATTATTGCAATGTGCTTTATACACTGCCTTTGAAAACTACTTTAAAACTGTAATTGGTACAAAATGCAGACCCCTCCTCCTCTTGAGAGCTGTTACAACCATGTAAATCAGTTTTGCAGGTGCCGCATTGGCTTCCAGTAAGTTTCTGGGTAAAATTCAAAGTGCTGGTTTTAATGTATACCTTCCAGGTATCTCCTTCGAGTAGAAATAGTCTGTCCTATAAACTCATCATGGAAAAGGATGCTTAAGTTTCCCCCATTTGAGAGATTGGGGGGCTGAAGGCATTTTCACTTTTGAAGACCTTTCCATTTGGAGTAGCCTCCCACTAGAGGTTCAGTTGCCACCTGCCCTGATGAGAGAATTTGATGTGTAACCGTTGCTATTGGGATTGGGCACCGGTGGGTCTTGTTGTTTAACTTACTGTTTAACTGTTTTGTCAATTAGCTGGTGGTATTTTAGTTTATGTGTAAACTGCTGGGAGCCATATTTGGAATATGGTGGTATTAAAAAAAAACTGTAAATAAATAAATAAAAGGTGATGTCCAGGAAAATAGGCCACTTTATGGCTTAAGACAGTGTTTTTTAAACTTGGGAACTTTAAGATGTGTGGATTTCAACTCCACACATCCTAAAGTTGAAGTCCACACACCTTAAAGTTCCCAAGTTTGAAAACTCTAGCTTAAGGTGATGGAGCAGTTCACACAAAATGCTGAGGCAACATCAGGGACCCCAGAACATATTGACTCGTGAACTGCCTAACTGTATTTTAGCCTAGTCTGGTGTATTCTTAAATCCAGCTACATTCTCATCTCAGCATTCCTCAAGTTTGCCCATCTCTTCCTATTTTATCTCAACTCTCTGCTTATCTCCAGCCTTAATTTTCTCATTCTCACCCAGAGACTCATAGCCCAGAGTCACTTGGTTGAGATGGGCAGCTGTAGAAATTAAACAAATAAATAAATAAATTTCTTCCCTCTGGCCCTTCCCCAGACCTTAACCCCTTTCAAGTCCTCCTCTTTCGTTGCCTTCACTACTTCATCAGTCCCCCTCTGTCCAGTCCTGCCTGTCCCTCCCCCAAATTTTCATTTACTTCCCCTAAATTTTTGTACTTTCTGCTCAGTCCCAGCCTTCCTCATTTCCTATTCCACCTTTTTCCCTTTAACATGGGTTTATATTATTTGCTAAAGGTATATATCCTGACTTTCCTGCAACCATCCAAGGCAGCTTAGTGGGCATCTCCCTCACTTAACCTCAGCAACAGCAATACTGTGACGTACGTTGGGGTGCAAGAGAGACTACCCCAAAGTCACCCAGAGTCTTTCCAGAGCCAAGGATGGTCAGATCTTCCCAGCCCCACGCATCACCTAATACTGTGGTACCTGCCCCACATTTCTCCGCTTTTCCACCTGTCCCGTTTCTCCCCCTTTAGCTTCCCCTGAGACTTATACTCTCATAGGCTACCTCTCTATCACTGCTTCCCTACCAGACCCATGGTGCTCTATTTCTCCTCTTTACACCGCTTCCCGAGTTTACCTCAGCTCTTTCCCTCCCCCTGTTCCCTTTCCACCCGCCCGAGGTTCACCCCCCTGTTCTCCACCTGCCCCAGACCTCGCCCCCGATTTTACCCCAGCTCCCGCTCCTTTCTTCCCCGAGAGGTCACCTCAGCTCTCCCCATTAGCGTTACTTCCCCTCGTCCTCTCCCCACTTCCCT